GCAGAAACCCTAAAATTCATTAAATTTTTATATTGATTCCAGTCATTATGTTCCTTTTTGTTGCATGTAGCTGCACTTCTTTGCATACTATTTCATACTCTTCCATTAAGGCATGATGATGATCCCTGGACCGTAGAAATCGGAAGCTTTTATTTATTTTCGAAAAAACAAAACTTTTTAGTTTATAAAGAGTCAACATTTGAGCAGTTAAACACCCTCTACGATTTAAAAATACTTCTAAGGTAAACCCATTCAAATCATATTATGTATTACAATTTTCTATCAACGCCCATTCCCAATTAACAGTAATAACATCTCGAGATTCGCTAGTTGGCTAGTTCCTCGAGCGTGAAACAATTACCTACTGAAACATGCTGTACAGCAGCCTCATGGGACTCTCTTGTACACTTACTGCTTCGCTTTGACTTGATAATTACCACCATATCTTGAGGTTTTGCCTTAGGACAATGCTCGTGCTTTTTACAACGATCCGGAGAGATGTGCGAGCTCATTAGGATATAGTGGACGAGATGCATATCTCGACAATTATTTTAGTATAAGTGAATGTTATGATAGTGCTGTATAGAAAGTCTTGTTAACAGTTTTATTGTACGAGGAGAAGCAAAAAAGTAATGGTCTTGTTTAAGGCCTGTCGCCATTTCACAGTGATTTATTAATTCCTTGTGATCTTGTCGCTTACCGGCGACAATAGCTAAATAACTAAAAAATAAACGTCATAGCGAAAATCAGTACTAACGTTTAGAATATTTTAATTTTGATGTTCCAAATGTTATTTGAACAACATTAATGAGCTTGGATGTCATCACTGGTTAGTTTTTGTGTACAATATTTTTGTAGCCTAAGTTTACTTTTCAAACAAAGTGATAGGGTAAGTCCGGTAGAGATGCCATAGTGGTAGAGATGCCGAAAATTTTATCGACATAATGGTCAGACTATAAGTATGCCATAATTTATTGGGATTATTTGCGAATCGATTGTTTATTAAAAGTACACTATTTGAGGTTATATTAAAGTACGTTTGGCTAGCGGCAACTAAAAAACAATCTTCTTGGAAAATGTGGCATCTCTACCTTATAAACGGTAGAGATGCCTTAACATATTCGGTAGAGATGCCAATATTATTTTTGCATATTTTTTTGCAGATATGCCTTCCTTTTACAAAAGAAAATCTGCCACCCGTGGAAAATGGTTAGAGGCCGATTTAAAGTTGGCAGTTGCAGCCGTAAGTAATGGAACGAGAGTTGGCGAGGCGTCGAGAATGTACAATATTCCTGTTAGAACCTTAAAAAGAAGAATTGAAAATAATAATGTAACTAAAGGAAGAATAAGTCCTGCGAGCACGCTTGGTGACGAAGCCGAAAAGAAGATGATAGCTCATATAAAGAAGCTTCAGAGGTTTGGTTTTTCTCCTACTATGGATGCTGTGAGGGAAATGGCGTTTAAACTAGCTGAAAGATTAGAAATGAAACACAAATTTAACAAAGAAGAAAAAGCGGGGTATGACTGGCTAAAGTCATTTTTAAGAAGAAATTCGGAACTGTCAATAAGAAAAGCGGATGGATTATCAAGAAGTAGAATGTTGGGAATGACAAAGGAGGCTGTATAGAATTATTTTGATTTATTGCATCAAGTATTGCAAGAAAATGATTTATTCGATAAACCAGATTCTATTTACAATGTAGACGAGACTGGTCTACAATTTAATACTAAACCATCGTTGATTATAGCTGAAAAAGGTTCCAAGGTTGTAACAACCCCGACGCCTCAAGACAAAGGTGAAACTATTGTCTTGCTACAATGCAGAAGGTTTCTTTTTACCTCCCGCCTGCATATTTAAAGGTGTTAATAAGAAACCTGAATTTCTAAATGATATGCCACCAGAATCCGATATTTATATGTCAAAAAAGTCGGCTTACATAAATTGTTTCATCGTTGGCTAAAGGAGCATTTTTTACCTAGAAAGTCTCAAGGAAAATGCCTCTTGATTTTAGACGGTCATACTTCATATACAAACGCAATAGATGTATTGACATTTGCAGAAGAGAATGACATAATTCTGCTTTGCTTGCCATCTCACACCACACACTATCTTCAGCCTTTAGACAGAGCCGACTTCACATCCCTAAAATGCCTAAAACTTTTAAACGAGGCATGGGGAAAAGCGGCGTCTGTACATAATGCGGTATCTGCTTTACGATCTACAGAAATCTATCCTTATGATTCGAGCCAAATACCAGATTATGCATTTACCCAATTAGAGACTAAAAGTCAAGCTAATCGTATGGAAAACGAACAGGAAGCAGCGTCAAATGTTGCTACAACTTCAGCCACTGATGAGTCACATCCTAGTTCAGCAGATCAAACTGGTGAAAACAATACTCAAGATAATAACACGCCAGGAAAGCTGCTTAACATTGTAGCGCCATTATCTGAAGCTATCAGCAATGTTAAAAGTAGAGGAGGTAAAGTGGCTCAGCTTCTGACATCACCTGAAAATTTAGAAAGAATTAAGAAACTTGAAACAAGCAGAAAGAAGAAAGCAGAGGCAAGCAACAATAAAGAAAAACAAGCCCGTAAAGAAAAATTTCTATTTCAGAAAATAAAGCAGGACCTTCTGGTATCAATTCTAAAAAAACAGGTGATAGTTGGGAAAACCAAAAATAGAAGAAAGAGTAATTCAAGTGGCACCTTCTGAGGTGTCACTTGACTTTTCAACACACGAGAGTAATTCTTCTTTTGGTCAAGAAGAAGATGACGAATGCGTGGGCTGTGGAGAGCCGTGGAGTCTAACTAAGAAAGAAGACGATTGGATCCAGTGCATCCATTGTAACCGGTGGTTGCATGAGGGATGCACTGGATTCAGAAACATTTGCCAGCATGTGGAAAGCTGTTAACTATAAAAAAGTAGACAGTTATAATCATTTGCATCTGTACCGCCACAGATGGGCATCTCACCCAGACAATATGGGAGAGATGCCAAACTGAATTATTTTCTTAATTTACAATGTACCTTTTTCTATAAAAATCATTTTTTTACGCTAATGTATCTTTTAGTTATGTTGTTTGGTAATTTTTTATTTAAACATTTAAAAAAGGTTGGCATCTCTACCGGACTTACCCTATTTGAAAAATATGCCACTATTGATAAATCCAGGTGACAAAGTGTATTATTTTTAGTATGCCTCTGAGAGTGAATGTTTTGTGGTCTCTGACTTTGTAGTGCTTTTTTTAAACAATTATGGTATATGTTCAATTAATTTTGGCAAATGTGCTAATTCTGTAAATAGCTGTATTTTCATATCGTAGGTTAAATGTGTGATAACTTTTCAGGATTCAGAAAAAACTATCTTGATTAATACAGAAGTGTACATAAGACGATATACCTTAACAAAATGGCTCTTAGTATCTTTCAAACAGCTTTGTTTTTAATAAATCGTGTGCAACAAATTTTTGTTTCATTTCTACAACCATAAAATGAAGTTAGCAGTTTAGAAAATTCTTTTAAGGAATAAAAATCGCGGAGATAGCAGAATTTTTTATTAACTTGAATTGTAATGACACAACAAAAACGACAAACTAAACATTTTAAAAACAAAAATAAACTAAAAACAAAATAATTTCGATAAAAAAATAAATAATAATTATATAGGTATGTGATTATTCATGTGGCAAATCATTGTAGAAGCCATGATAGCTGGTAAAGTTGACTTAAGATCTAGAAGATCAGAATATTTTCAAGCTAAGATTTAAATTTTATTTTGATGAAGACTTCAAACCACGAATTTGATTAATATAAAATAAAAATATTAAATTATTAATTCAAGGAACTAATAAGAGATTGATTAATGTTTATCTTAGCATCTCCAAGCTTTCTTCCAGGTCTTATACTTTTTACCAATTCAATATTTTTAAACAATTTGAAGAAGGTATGGTCCAATATTTTACATTGCACAGTCTAGTATTGGATTATTGCTTTTTTGCAGTGAAATGCGTATTTGGTTCAAACATTAACTTTTCTTGACATCACACGACGTTTTATTGTGGAATGCATTTAATCCACTAGCATCTGAGTATGTTCCACTTCATAATACTTATGTTCAATTGTTATTTGATATTATTCTGTCAAATGAATAGCAAAATTAACCAGCTTGCTATTACCATTTTGGTATGCGCAATCATTACTCCAAAACATGATATTTCTGATTTCTTCATCAGTGAACAGAATAACGTGGGTTTCAAGAAAAATATAAAAGCTGGATGAAAATTCTTCTACCTTGTATATCCATTATCCATCCTTAGTATCAATGTAAAAATAACACAAATTATGTACGCACAATTTTGTTTAATAGTAAAGGCTGCTTATGTTTGATTTTGGTGAGAGTAAAAGTTTGATTTTGGTGAGAGTAAAACAACCTAAAAATCGATGGTAGAGACAAACTTTTAATTTTTTTTTTATTTTCTATTTCGCGCCTAGCTTCTCTTTTTATTGTCATATGGCTGTTATAGTTTTTCTCTGTGATATGGCCTTCCTTGAATTTATTACAAATTTCGCATTCATCCTTTTTTGGCCTGAATAATGCCATAATTTCTGACTCGAATGCTTTTTTGAATATTTTGAATATTTCTGGGTACATATCAATCTTTTTTGTAGTCTGTAAAGTTCTTCTTTTAAGGTCCACTCGGGCAATATATAATTTTTGCTTAAGAGGATCTACGGTTATGAGATTGCATTGCTGGTAAAGAATTAGGTATCTCTTGTATGCTTTTGTTTTTTATTTCAAATAGATTCTTTTTATTTTGTTTTTCATTTCTATATAGAGTTGATCTGTTTTTTTCTATATCATCAGCATTTTTGTAATATAAAAACGTATTTTTCCAACTTAGGATACTCTAACGACCCAATCTCACTATATTTAATTACATTGTGATACAAACTCTTATTTACTGATCACCTGTTTTATAAATAAGTACTTAAAAGTCTAATTTCTTCTTGATTGTTTTGGTGCTTTTCTATCTATTGACCTTTTAATAATTTCACTCGTTACAGTACTGTCAGCGAATAACTTTTTTTCTCCCCAACAAAGACTCCAAAAATATTGGAATATGTCTTTTCTTTGCTTTTCTGTTATTGCACTGCACTTTAAAGTTCCGTTTTTAACTCTACACTCGCATCTTTCTTTGATATTTCTTGGTTCCCTTTCTATGTTGTAAGACCACTTTCCGTTTACTTTAGTTTTACCAAAGTATCGCTTTCTTTTTTTTCGCGTATTTCTATTCTTCCCCGAAAACCACGTTGCCTTCTGTATTTGAAATATTTTTCGTCGCATCTTTGTTTTTGTTGACATTTTATCATAACTATAAATCAGTACCTAAATAGAGGACTATCATCCGATATGTTATATGATACTGTAGTTTCCTTTGTTTCAAACCGGCTTGTTCCTGTAGTATCTTCTTTGTATATTACTTTATATATTTCATGCTTGTCGGTCCCTTGTTAGCTTTTTGCTTTTTCTGTTCTATAATTGTTAGTCTCTTCTTTATCTGTAATATTAGCTACTACATCACCAATTTCATGACATCTTGCATCTTCTATTTTACTATGTAGTGCTTTACTGGTATCATTTACATCTATGATTTCCGATAATTCAGATTCCATAATAATAATCATAATATTATTTATTTAATGGGGGTGGTGTACCTTTTTATTCAGAAAAGGACGAATGGTAATCAATAATTTCAATGTTAACATTTTCAACGATATGAAAATTATTTACGGGCACAATATTGTTAGTATCTTCATTTGAGTAATTATTAGATTCAGATTGCCTGGATGCTAATTTTAAAATGTCCTTTGTTCGTTTTAACCTAATATCAGTAAAATAAAAAAAAAGATCTAACAGGAGGCTATTCAAAACCATTATAACAAATAAATACATCATGCCGAAGATGCCTTGATGACCGATGATTGATGATGGATGAGCGATGACCGATAACTGATGATAGATTTGTGTACATGTCGAAGATATCTTCCTCGATGAGTAATAAAAAATGCTTTAAGCAGTGTTGCCAGGTGTGCGTTATTAATCGTTTTATACGATAATTTTTGATAGAACCAAAATGTACGAAACTTTCACCACATGACTCAAACGCTCTCTTTCAAAAACAACCAAATTGGATAGAAACTGAAATCGGCTAAAGTATATCAAGGAAGAGTGGCATTAGAAAGTAAGCGAGAAAGGCAACATTAGAGGAGGAGCCGATGTGGTTCAGCTTGTTTATATACGTCATCTCAGCTAAGTAAAGGAAGATAATGCATTGGATTACTGTAGTCCGATACAGAGTTAAATTATCATATTTTTATTAATATATTCGTATTGCACGGTTGTCCAAAAGCATCGTAATGAGATACTTCTTTTTTCAATTGTATCAAGACATAATATAGTGATTTTTTTGGAGTATTTTCAAATAGAAGCAGTTTTTTTCCATTTAGCATGTCCCTTTATAATAATTAACGTATTGTTTAATACAATACGTTATGTTTTATGACGTGTGCTACCCCTACCGGCACCGTCGCACCAGAAATAATTTTAACAGCCAATCGTGCTCAAGATTTTAAGATGCCTGTAAATATCGTGGTAAATATCGACGGTGCGAAGGTGGAGTAATCTTTGGTATGCATACTCTCATTTAAATCTATACATTTGTCTTTCATCGATTAACATCTACTTAACGATCTCCTATCGATTATATTAATCTTCACTCATCGAGGCACCTTCGGCATAACACACCTTTAGATATACAATATAGCGACATTTTTTCTCGCAAATGAGCAGTCTAAATGCGATTAGTTAATATAATTTTTGATAGTTTGCTTGGTGGAAAAAAGAAGTAGAACTTCTTTAGTCTTGGAATATTTCAAATGATATTATAAACTTTTCAAGTTAACGCATTGAATTGCTTATTTATTATTAGCTGGATATTTTAAGTTAGATATTATTAATGCAATAGTATTAGTTGGGTATTATTAGTATTTACCGGCCGCAAATGAGTACAAGTTAAGTACATTTAGTAAAAAGGATGAAATAAATGTTTTAAAATTACTTGTTTTGAATACGATAGAAATTTTGAAAATAACTGCATCTATAATATCCTAATAATTTTTCATTGCGGATTCTGTTATTATAATAATTTTTCGTAATTTTCATTCACGAGTCTTTCATTTATCCAAATTACTTTATTTGTACGACATTTCATAGCTTCATGTAAAAAACGCAAGAAATTTGAGTCAAAACCCTTCTGTAAATATAATTAATGCGTTATAATTACGAATACGTGTGCTGCCCCAAAATGTCATTGTGGTTCTTTATCATCAGCTGTCATGCAAAACACCCTCCTACAGTATAATGTTACTAATTGGAGCCGTAGCGAGATTTCCCATTTCCCCTGATGGTTCACGAAGGTCGTAGGGAAAAGTAGAACAGGGGTCATAAATCTATTAAATATAAAAATACTTCGTTTTATGTTGACTATTAAATCAGTTAATTAAGTAAAAGTATGTGGATTATTTTGCCAAAAAAACCTTATATATGTTTTACGTTTGACTATAAGAGAAGTTTGGATTATAAAAGTGGATATGATGGCCATATCGCACGAAGACAGTATATTTATTCTATGACCCACTAATGAACATCTAACATGGATATTTACCGAGCATTGCTGACTCAAAGGACAAATTAGTAAAATAAGAGTAGTAGAAGATAGTGAGTGCAGATTCAGTGAGGAGGAGGACAAAACCTTCATTCCCATTCTGACCTAAATGTGTACAACTCCAGAATCCAAGGAAACTACACTTAGGAGCATACCAAATAGAAGAGGTTGATCTACCTAACTTGAAATCGCTCCAAATCTTACACTTTCTTAAAAAGATAGGATTGGAAGGGTCGCTATAGGCATCAAGACAATTTTCTCGATGCATTAACAACAAAAGGGGACACAATAGATATTTTAGGTCGCAGTGTATTAATACCTCATACCCAACATAACATAGTAAATATCTGCAAATTTAAAAAATTTTTTTAGAATATTAAGGTAAAATAATTATTAACTTTTATTGATTTATAAAATAAAATAAACCTAAAAATGATTTTATTTTATTTCATTAGCCTTCAATCCTATATATTTGAACACAGGACCTTTAGCTACCTATAGCTCTATTGAGACGCCTAGTTTTTTAATTTTATTACTCATAATTAACTTGATTTAATAAAATTTAAGAATTTTTTGTAAATATAGACGAATATCTTGTGAAATGCTATTATTTATCGATTCTTCAAAAGAATCACTCATTTTTCAATTAATTAATAATCATTTATTTATAACTTTAAAAAATAATAGTAGCCTGGTGATCAAATATGAACTGTGATAGCTGTTCTGACTAGGTAGAATGAATATGAAATATATGAAATATATTCGTTCAGTTGATCGTAATGTCCTACTTTTTCATTTTGAAGTCTATGCGTAGAATAGCTAATATCCATGTGGGTGTATAAAAAATAAATAGGTACTGGTAAGGTACAAGTTGTCTCCGAGATAAAAAAATGGTAATTTAAACCAACTTACCTATATTTATTGTAAACTACCACTACTAGCTTCCTACAGCTTCTATTTTATAGCACTATTTACTCAACACTTTTAATACTATTGTAGCTTCCTATAGCCATTAATAATACAACTATTTTATTTTCGCTTCTTGTAGCGTCATTTATTATCACTAATTAATTTTCTATTTTTTACAATACAACTTCTTATACCTACTACTATTCTCCTATTTTAAAAAATACCTACTCTATTTCACTATTTGACTTTCCAATCTCTTGCTTTATCTTTCTAGATTTCATTTGTTTTATTAATTATATTATTTTGTAATTTTCAGATTTTCCCCAGTACTACTAGTCCATAAGGTGCTAAAGATTTTTATGTATAATGTATTTTAATTAGTTTTGTATTACTCTTTATTTTAAATATCATATAAAGTCTGGCTAATTGGTTCCTACCACAGCTATTCAACTAATTAAAAAAAAATATATCATTTATTTAATTAATGGATTTCTATCTTCCTGTAATCTGTTTTTCTATTACATTTTCAATTTTATTTTTTCTTCTATTATACCTCGTGTACTTATTTATTCTCTGTATTCCATATCTCTATTCATAATCCATTCTATTTCTTAATTAATAAGTTTCACTCTATTTTTACATAATCTTCGTCACATTTCTATTCATACTTATTTATTTAATTCATTATGTTCTGTATTTTCTAGTCTCTTCGTAATAATCCTAATTATTATTTATTTTTATTTAGAAATAAAACACTTTTGTTTCTTTTAGTACCGCACGCTTGTCCATGCCATGTATGACTGACTTTCTCTACCCCGTGAGTCAACTGTTACGTCAGGGGCAAGCGTACCTACATTTATTTATCTACTTAAGATGATTCACATACACTACATTTCTCCCCTTTTATAATAATATAAATATATATGTTACATACAGGGTGTCTGTAAAAGGTCTTTACAAAAACATACCACATATTCTTTAGACCAAAATAAGTCGATTTAAGTAAAATTACCTTTGTACAAAGTTGGTTCGTTTGGGCTCCAGAGGGCCTTGAAATTACAATTTTTAAATCGTTTTTCCCATATAAATTTAAAACGGCATATGCGATTTTGCTGAAATTTGCTATATTGGTAGAGTTTTATGTGGCAAACAAAATGGTATTAAAATTTTGTCCGATAATAATACATAGGCGTAGAACTTGATTTTTTAAATAATTGCACCTTTAAAAATTCTACGTCAATGGAAGAAAAGGAGTTTACATATGAAATTTAGATTGCGCAACTCATTTACTTTAAAAAAGGTACTCTTGATAAGACTCGATTACTCTCATGGTTTTCGCTAAATTTCTGTTTTAATAATTTAGAGTGTATAGGTTTCACAAAAATATTTATTTACAACATAATTAAAATAGAGATTTTACAAAAATTGTTCAAAATGTTCACCATTTTCACGCATACAAAGATTTATACGTCGAAGAAAATTAAAATGTATCCTTTCCATAACTTCTTCATCACCTCTAAGATTGTTTATTGCATCTTGAATACGTTGCCAGAGTTGTTCCTCATTTTCTACAGGTTCCCTGTAAACTGTGGATTTTAGATGTCCCCATAAAAAGTAATCCATCGGTTTTAGGTCTGGGGAACGTGGTGTCCAGTTTACAAGTGCGTCATTACCTCTGCCTATCCATTTGTGTAGATATTGTTCATTAAAG